AATTAAAGTGTGTTCATTTTAGTAGTTAATAGAAGGAATTAAAACTATTCTCCATGGGAACGATACTCTATTCATTACTATATTATTTGTTAACGATACGCGCACTTGCGTGAGAAATCAACAACTGCTAGTTATAGTGATCTTAATGCCTCTACTTCAAGTATAGCTATACATTTAGCTATAGGTATAGGTATAAGTATAAGTATAGGTAGAGGTAGAGGTAGAGGTAGAAGACTTTCTGGTCCTATTTGGTCCTATTGATGTTAATGTTATTGATGAAAGTAGTTCTTTATTTAGGGACACAGATGAGGTGGATTTATCCAGTGATGACGTAGAATGGATGTTTGAGACAAGGAGTGATCAAGATGTAAGTTAGTCTCAAGGCAATATTGAGAATGATGTTTAAGTTGAGGAAGATAAAGCAAAGAATGGTCTGTTTGATATTAACAATGATGTAGAGGAAAGAAGCCAAGATAGCTTTGACTTTGACAGGGAAGTTAGAGCAATGGATAGGTCCCTTAAAGGAATCCCTTATGTTCCTGATGAGAATAGGACAGATGACTTTGACTTTGACAGATGATTCATGCAACCTTGTGTTTGGATAACAAGACCTTTAAGATTAACAAGGTAGGGAAGGAACATACCTATATTAGGATGAATGACAATAATTCTACTACTACAAGTGTGTGGATAACTACAAAACTTATCATTAAGTTAGAATCTGATCCCAATATGTCTTATAATCTAATGTAGCATGAATTGTAAGAGAGGTATGTAGTGATTGTTCTCCTAATGATTTGTATGTAGTAGGGCAAAGAAAAGAGTTCAAAAAGAGACTGAAGGGACTTTTGGTAAATCTTCCTCATCCATGTATTTGTATGCACACATGGTGAGGGACACAAATCTTGGGATTATAGCTATAATGTAGCCAAAAAAGCTTGAGGTCAGCATATACCCCACATTTAAAATGTTTTTCTTGTCCTTTGATGCTATGAAGAAAGGCTTCAACAATAGATGTAGGCCCTTCATTGAGGTTGATGGTTGCCATCTCAAAGGACCATATGGAGGAGCCTTCTTATCTACCATTGCAATTGTTGGGAATTATGGTATATTTCCAGTCACTTTTACTGTTGTAGAATTGGAGAATGGTGATTCTTAGGCATGGTTTTTGAATTTGTTGAATACTGCCATAGAAGAATTCAACAAACCATTGGCAGTGATGAATGATGGTCAAAAGGTAAACCTTAAACTATACTATTTTTTATTTAATTATTTAATTTCAATTACTTATTATATGTTTAATTAATGTGTCTTTATTCTTAAATGGCAAGGTCTAAAAGACATACTTACAAAGGTAATGCCCCATGCAAGTCAAAGAAAATGTGATAGGCACTTGTATATCAATTTTAAATAAAGGTTCCTAGGTTTAAAGTTGAAAGTCAATTTTTGGAAGGTTGTAAAAGTTTGCAACTTGTGGGACTGGAATGAAGTTATGATGAAGATGAAGGTTGAAAATGATGATGCATATAAGTGTTTGATGGAAAAATCATTAACATAGTGGGCAAGACACATTTTTGACCTAAGTGTGAAGGGTGACCATGTAATTAACAACATGGTAGAAACCTTCAACAATTGGATTAAGCTTGTCAAAGCCAAACCCATTTTGACTTTGTTTGAAAAGTTAGAATAGAAGATGAAAAGGTTCAATGATAGGTATGAAAAGGCATGCACACGAGAAATCCAAGTGACCCTAAAAATTAAGAAGAAATATGATTCTGTCAAGTATAGTGGGAGTTTTCTAAGGTTGTGCCTACCTCAAATAGTGAGTTTAATGTGTTTCAAGGTAGCAAGACTTATGCAGTTAACTTAGGGGTGACTAGGGTAACCTATCGTTGTGGTGTTTGGAATATTTCAAGACTTACTTGCAAGCATGCAACAGCCTACATAAGTTACAAAATGGGTGATATACACCAATATTATGACAATTACTATTCTAAGGAGACTTTCATGTTAGCATGCACTAATTACATTCACCCTATACCTGGCATCACAATGGCTAAGTTAAGACGGTAGGTTGATCCAATGGATCTTTTAATGCTATGCTTTATACCTAGCAAACCAAAGAAGAACAGAAGAAAGAAACTTGGGGAAGGGTCATCTGAATCTGTCAATGTTAGGAAGAGGAGCATTGTTAGGTGCATTTTCTGCCAAAGGCTTGGTCATAATAAAAGGAAATGTCTTAGGGTTCCTGGGAGACATAATAAAAAAGTAATCCCTACAACTAATTTAGTTTTTTAACTTATACATTTATTATGCAACTACTAAATTTTTATATTTTAAATTGAAGTTATATACCTTGTCTAAGTCTTCATCAAGTGCTCTTAGGTCTGCATTAAGAGTTATTGATGGGTCTACATCAACAACTATAAGAGGACCTTTTGCTAATATGCAAGGAAGACCTATTGCTGCAACTCTAAGACATGGTGGTGGTGGTGCTATTGCTGGAGGGCATAGTGGTGCTACTCAAATTGCTAGATCTACTTCATTTGCAAGAAGACCTTTATTTGTTACTATTTCTATTCGACATACTACCCTTGCTTCCTTGATAATGAATTTTGTAAATGCTTCATTTGAATTTGGTGCTGATGGTGTTGAAGGGTCATAAACAAGTGTCTTTAATGTCATTAATATGTGAATATGTGAATTTAATACAATTAGGGTTTTTTTGTGATGTTTTTAATGGCTAAAATGTAATTACAAAGGATGCTTTGTAATATTTTTGCCTTTATTTGTCTTCAATTATCTAGTGATATGATATTAGATGGTAATTATTGACTTTGATATTGGACCTATTGGCAGTGATCCTCTTTTGTAAACCTAATGACATAGGTTCTTTTGTAAAGCTACTGGTCCTTCTATGCACAAAAGTTGAGGGAAAATAGTGGTCTTCATGTGCAGAAGAGACCTGATGCAATTTTTGTATAGGATATTTATTGAATATCAATGCAAATGATATTATTTTATGCAATTATTATATATGATATATATTGAATATCGACGTAAAGATGATATTACTTGTTAGGAAAAAAAACCTTTGCATTAACCTTTATGTTGAAGTCTATAACTGGCATCATAAGACTAAAAACTCAAGATATTGAAATGCATTGCTATCTTTATATCCATTCAATATTTCAATATTTCAACAATTTTGTGTTCAATATTTTAACAACTTACAACAACTTTTGCATTCAATATTTCAAAAACTCACAACTTTTATTAAACAAAATTACATTTAAATGCCTTGGAGTCTTCCTATTTTTCCTTCACATCCCATCTTTTTAGGGCATTTTATCAAGCACCATTCAAAAAGCCCTTCAGCCTTCATTTTCTCTTCCTCTCTTCCCACATTTTGCACCTACTAGAGAGCTTTCATTTGAAGAACCATAGACTAATGTAGGTAATGACCATATGGAACTTTTATTTTTTGAGCTACTACACTCACTAATCTATGGTTTTGGAAATGGAAGCTCTCTAGCAAGATTACAGCAACAGAAGCTTGAAGCTTAAAGGTAAAATCCATTTCTGGTTCTTGAAATAATCTTTTTCCTCCATTACTTTCATCATCTCTTACTTTTTGGAGTGCCAAAAATCATCAAGAAATTTGAATTTTTAGCTTATCCATCTATGGTTCTTCAAACAATCATTTTACTCAATTAATTTCGTCATTTTTTTTTTGTGGAGTGTCAAAAATATAAAAAAATCTGAATTTTTAGCTTATCCATCTATGGTTCTTCAAATAATCTTTTTTCTTGATTAGTTTCATCATTTTTTCTTTTGTGGGGTATAAAAAATCAGCAAGAAATCTAGAGCCTTTTAACAAGAAATTTGGATTTTCAGCTTTTGATTTAAGGTAGTTTGTTTCAACAAGAACATTGAAGGAAAAAAGGGTAAAATTATCTTAAAATTCATCGAAAAAAAGTTACTAATGGAAGAATTAATGGCACGACTTATCTGTAGAGTGAAACACACTCTTTTTGGATAAATTGTATATTTTAAAAATTAATAAATTTGTATTAAATTATAGGCAAATTTAAAAGTGTTAGTGTATTTTATCTTAAAATAAAAAAATAAAAAGTTATTTTAATATTATGCCTTATTATTTTGACAAAAAAATATGTTAAATGATTTGTTATTCTTTTATTATTTTGTAACTAATGGTGAGAATAGACAGTCAAAATAGAAAAAAGTTAAAAAAGACGTGATAAATATTTAACAATTGATTTGACTTAAAACACGTGTCCTCAGGTTCGGAAGATAGTAATAAATTAATAGTGAGAGCACCCATTGTGACTGGGGAGTGGGGAGGAGTACATTTATTCCGCTTTGTTGTAACTGACAAAGATGCTAACCGCATCAATGTCACATGACTCACCTGATCATCTTTTGTCCAATTAAATATTCAATTCAACATAATTAAGTAATTAGTTAGGACCTCAATTGCTCTAAATAAAAAGGATGGGTCTACATGGGAACTTGTTTCCCATCATTGAAGTTGTAGCCGGGGAATTGACTCCAACCCTTCTCTCAACGCAATTGCCTTGTTTCCTTTCTTCTTCTCCTTATATCTCTTTGGCTAAAGGTCCTAGCATTTCCATCATATTTAGCCTAAAAGTCATAAATTTATCAAAAATTTCCTCTACATGCCTCGTTACTTACTTGCAAAGTAAAATAACTTGACATACAAACAAGTTAAGGCACAAAAACAGTAACGGTCCTTGACAATAGCACCCAAAATTGAGGAAAAAGGTACAGACAAAAGCAATATTTTATGGAGTCCTACGTTTACTTATCGGTTTCAAAATGGATACATAATCCCCTTTTATCTTCACCTTCATGTTGTTATCTTGCTCAAACTCACCTTTTCCGGTTCACAGCAAGCTGGAGGTTAAAAGTTTCATAGGTTCTTTCTATATCCATATTGGTTTTCCCTGTTCTAAACTATGGGTGTTGATCTGTACCAACGAACGTGGTTCATTGCCTGTGTGATTGTGATTTTTGAGTACTCAAATGGAGTTGCAGGGTCAGAACGAGTTCCTGCACTGTTTGTGTTTGGAGACTCATTGGTTGATGTTGGCAACAACAATTTCCTTAGCTCAATTGCCAAGTCTAACTATTTTCCTTATGGCATTGATTTCAATATGCAGCCTACTGGAAGATTTTCTAATGGGAAAACCTTTGTTGACATAATTGGTAAGTTTTCTACGCTCGAAATATATACCAATGATAGGCGTTAACTTATTGATCATCTTGAATGGAAGTGAGAATTGTTTAAAGGTTGCAATGGGATTCATCTTGTAGTGGGCAACTACTAATTATGAAAGGGTATTTAAGCTGTTATGATATAAAGATTGTTGTACATGCAGGAGAGATGTTGGGAGTTCCTTATCCTCCAGCCTTTGCAGATCCCAACTCAGTTGGAGTTAAAATACTGGGAGGAATGAACTATGCTTCAGCAGCCGCTGGCATCCTTGATGAGACAGGCCAACATTACGTACGTATTTTGCTTACCTAATTCTCACTTTTGCTACCATCTTTCCATAGATTTTCTAATTTCTATTGAATGAAAATCACAGGGAGCACGGTATAGCCTAAGCCAACAAGTCGTGAACTTCGAAAGCACCTTGGATCAACTACGAAAAATGATGGGGAGCAATGTGACAAGTTTCCTTGCCAAATCCATAGCCATTATGGTGTTTGGGAGCAATGACTACATCAACAATTACCTCATGCCATCCATCTACTCTTCTAGCTACACCTACAGTCCTTCAGAATTTGCCAACCTTCTTCTGAACCACTATGGGCGGCAACTTTTGGTAAAAATTCGTAATTTGAATTAATTAATTTGTTGGAGCAAACATATATAAATGGCAGTTTATGGAATTGGTGCAGGCTCTGTACAGTGTAGGACTAAGGAAATTCTTTATAGCTGGAGTTGGACCTCTTGGTTGCATCCCCAACCAAAGAGCCACAGGACAGGCAGCGCCTGGAAGATGCGTTGATTACGTTAACCAAATTCTGGGTACCTTCAACCAAGGGATCAAATCACTTGTAGAGGAGCTAAATAACCGTTCTGCTGCAATCTTTGTGTATGGCAATACCTATGGTGTTGTGGGTGACATCCTAAATGATCCGTCCACTTACGGTATGTATGTATGTATGTATGCATTGGATTAGACATCTAATTCAGGGAGAGATCCCTCCGTGATCCATCATTGAGTATGTGTGTTCATTCTTGCAGGATTCAGTGTAGTTGACAGGGCATGCTGCGGAATAGGGAGGAACCAAGGCCAAATCACATGTCTGCCATTTGCATTTCCATGCCCGGACAGAACCCAATACTTTTTTTGGGATGCTTTCCATCCAACGGAAGCAGCGAATTCAATTCTAGCCCGTCGGGCTTTCTATGGGCCTCCTTTGGATTCCTATCCGATCAACATCCAACAAATGACTCTTTTCAACTGATTTTCCTTCATTTCTTGTGTTTCTTTATCAACAGCTTGGCTCCATGCCAAACAATCAATCTCAGTTGTTTAGAATGGTAATGTTATTAAAATTAAAATTGCTTCAAACTAAAAATTATACCATTATATTTTCACTATAAAAAGAGGTAATGTTATAATTGAAAAAATAAAATATAAATACATCGTTTGATCATTTGAAAATCAAAAAGATGGAAAGCACTTTTTAAACCAAAGCGATACGTGTTTCGAAGGGCCACACGCACTTTTTTACACCGCAACCAATGTGCTTTGGTCGGGCTTGAAGGACAAAACTCATAACACATGAACTGAATGCCTCCCGATCTGTCGTCTTCCAGACAAAAAAGAGAAAAAGCCGACCTGGGGTAATTGAAAACTTTTGAAACGGGGCCTTGAGACTTGCTGTCCTCTGATTTCGTGGAAAGGAAAAATGGCATCTTCAATGGCAATTAAAACCCTGGCAAGATCACCCATGAGTTGTTCTCCTTTCAGAAAATCCCTGTGTTCCCTCCTACGAGTCGTATCCTACTCAAAAGAGTCGGACGACGATGCCATTCCCACAGCGGGAATCAGCAGACCCCTCTCCGAGATTCTCAAAGAACTCAACAAAAAAGTCCCAGATTCCCTCGTCAAGCTCCGCATCGAAGATGGCTTCAATATCAAATACATCCCCTGGTCATCTCATTATTCTCTCGGTCACTCTTTATTTACTAAAATTTGGTCTTCCTTTATTTTGTTTTAGGTTGTTTAATAGTAACTAGATTTATTCCTGTCAATCCCCTGTGCTATTAAAGCTTCTTGTGATTTATCTGTTGTTAAAAGAAACAAAACTGCAAGGCTATGATTTTCTTTTTAATCCAGTGGTTATGCTGTAAAATGGGAAGCTGGTAGCTAAGCCTGAGGAAGATCAACAACTTTACTTGCAATTTATCCATGAGGGGTCTAAGATGATTACTGAAATTTTCGGATTTTGTGTTCTACTAATGTAAATGTAAGGGACAGCATTGGGAGTTTTAGAATTTTGTTAGTGTTTGGATTTGGGAACCGAATGATAATGAATTCTACAGAAAAATTCAATTACAAATGGATTGTCATGTTTTGGAGCAATTGTTTGTTCTGTTATTGCAGAGCAAACTGCTGATTTAAAAGGAACTTCGAAAAATTCATTATTCCACACATACTCTTTGGGGTTTTCTTTTAGTTACAAGTTGAAATTAGAGGCAAGCGTGGAGCATGATTATAAAACTGTAAGCAATATGCTTTAATGCAGATATTTCATGCATATCTATGCTATGGCCTGTGCCTTTTTTTGTGCTTTAATTTTGGGGGCATAGAATGTGCTCTGCTGCGATTTCCTTTCTTTCTGCATCAGGCCTGATGTTTAATATCATGAAATCTGCTGCCTTTTGTCTGAGAAATTTGCATCAAAACCCTAACTAGTTTAAACTTTGAGCCTTCCCCTTCTTTTTCCTCAGCATTTTCAGTCTTTGTGAGTTATCATTATATTTTTTTTTTCTCTTGTCAATTTTGTCTCTCCATGGCATTTGGTATCAATGGTGGTCTTACATGGTTTCTTATTATCACGTCTTGCACTTTGCAGGCATATTGTGAATCGGATTATGAACCTACATGCTCCAGGTACTTTAAAGATTGAAATCATTCTGGCTGAAGCAATCACTATTCTTAATATTGTTGGCTTTCCACAATTATAAAACTCAAAGCCTTTGGTATTCCACCTATTGTGCAGAATGGTCTGGTGAGGTTCGGAGTATTACTTACTCTGCTGATGGAAAGTCTGTATCTGTCATCTATCGTGTAACACTCTATGGGACTGATGCTGAGGTATCTGTTCCATTTTATGATTGATACTATGACACACATGCAGTGAACTTGTATTAGTTGGCATTTGTGCTTCATTAATCCTGCTACTAAGTTGCTTGCCAAAAGCTTATATGTTGTTGACTTCCAATTAAATGATCTTTTGGCTGGATTTAGTGGACATGGTACGCTTGAATTTGTGGTCACTTTTGTGGATAAGCTGGCAAAGGTCACTTGTCCGAATATTTGGTTGCTTCATGACAATTACTGATGCATCGAAAGACTTTTTGTTTTGTTGCTCTTTTGCTTCCGGAAGCAAAAGGAAAGTGGATAAGCAACAACCAGATGGAATGTATCCGATGATACCATTGATAGTTTAGTGACCTTATTTCTTCCCTTTTTAACTCTTAATACGTTTTCCGTTGTAAGTCAATAGAATTTGTAAGTTGAAACATATACTGTTTAATTAATTGCTGAAAGATGCTTGGTCAGAATTTGAATGATACTCTAATTCAGATAATAGACGTATAGATGAACACAGTTTCTGTTCATGATACTTAAGATGATTCAGTAGATAAAGGAAAGAGGGATGAGAATTTTCGCTCTGGAATGAATGGAAAAAAAAGGTATTCTTGTGATTCCAATACTGAAACGGGCACTCCTACTAAAATTTACTTTCTCTTGTGCTATAGGTTTTCCTTTTCTTTTCTTCTTCCTTTATTAAAAAGGAAAACTTAAAAAATATAGTTGACAGACTTGGCCTGCTAGATGTGAAAACTTGCAGCAGACTGGTTTAAGAGTTGAACTTCTTTCAAATTTAGGAGCAGTAAATAAACTTTAGACATGATAGTTTGATGCTTCAATAGAATTCAATACGCTCGCAGATTTCAATTGTTATTCATGAACTGGTAAATTTATTCCTAAAGACTCCTAGTTTATGTGAATATTATGCATCTTCATGGTAACTGTTTTCTTATTTCCATTGAGTTTATCTATTGCTGGACTTGTGACTATGTCGAATAGGAAAAATTCAATAGATTTCTGAAACTTACATGAGTTTTTTGAAGTCAAGTACTGAAAAGTTGTTAAGCTGTAGTTTATGTTACGTTTGATTGTTGACAGATGAAATTTTCTTCTCTTTATTTCTTCATCTATGGCATATATATTTTTGACTAAAAGCAGCTAACTTGAGTTTGTTCTTGTATGATTGCACAAGATATATCGAGAGTCGACAGGGACTGCTTCAGTTGATGATCCTGGTTATGGAGATCCTGTACAGAAGGCTGAGGCCATGGCATTTCGGCGAGCTTGTGCACGCTTCGGGCTTGGGCTTCATCTTTATCATGAGGACATGTTGTAGATTGCTAATAAGCTCTGTTGTGTTAGGTTGGAGCTTAAACTTTGTGTTTTGGGAGGAGGCATGATTCAAATAGCATAATGTTGCTATAATTTTGTTTGGGAAGGAAATGTTCTCCTCTGAGAGTAGAAGTGAAACAGATTTTTGTAATGAAAATGGCATCCCATGATAGGCTCGGGATGGCTTGGCATGTTACATTAGAGCCTACTGATTAGAGGTTTGTGGTGAAATTATTTATTCTAAAGTATTTGTCAACTAATTTTGCTTTGTTATCTGTAAAGATGAGCACTAGAGAGACTCGGCTTAATCTCTCCTACTGAAGTGAGTGAGCCTGTTGAAGAGGAATTGCTTATTGCTTGTGTGAAACACAAAATAACAGTCTACCTGTTATTATTTTGGGTAAACTACTTGATCCAAATAAGTTTTGATCATAATTTCATGTGGATTTATTAGTTTTTAAAATAGACAATCCGTTCCAAATATGTAAACAACATTAATACTTAAATATGAAATGTTTAAAATTTATTTTTTCTTTTTCAACTCTTTTCTTTTTTCAAGTCGGTCAGCGACATTCTCTTATATTAATTGTTCACTTCATGGTTAGATTTGGTCAGATTCAATGGTACTCTCCAAATTAGATCCCAAAAGGAGCACCGATCTAGTACTCTTTAGGGGAGCGTTATCATTTGACCAACTTTGACACTCCTTGTCTAAATTTAGTCGCGTTAGAAAAGAGAAATTTGTTTTGAATAAAATAAAAAAATTAAAAATTAAAAATTATAATTTATATAATGACAATTTTTAAAATTAATAAAAAGTAAAATTATCTTAAAAATATTATCTCATCAAACTAACGAAAACATTAACGATTGATAAACAGTTGAATTTATGTGTCCAGCGAAAAATATTTTTTGGGACAAATTGTTTATTTTCAATACAAATAGATACACGCGGAATTATAGTTAAAACTTAAGAGGTTAGGGTATTTTACTTTATTATTTATTAATTGTCATTAGACAAGAAATGTATGTGGTTTAGTCTTTAATTGCTTACATTCACGAGCACAATGACAAGGAAAAGTTCATTAAAAAAAATTACAAGAATAATTTTAAATTTACAATCCTTATCTCAGTTACACCCAAATCATTCTTTCTAGATTAAGTACTCTCTAAACTCTCTCTTGATTTAATTATATTCTTTTATAGATGCAAGTACAATAATCTTATCCTAATCTAATTAGAATTTGATATGCTAGTTTAGCAAGTAAAGACTATCTCGACAAAATATATTAGTCAAACTACAATTCAAAGTATCATAACAAATCTTCACTTTTAGCTTGAATTCATCAAGCTCCACTTTACTCACCAATCTGTCATCACAGTTAATGCCCCAAAGGGCCTCAACCACTAAGAATACCGATAAAGTCTAAGCAATACTTGAATTTTATCTCACAAACTGACTTAGTTAACATATTTGTTGAATTTTCAGCTATAGCTACTTTTTTCACTATAATCCCACCTCTATAAACAATCTCTCGAATGAAATTACACTTGATTTGGATATGTTTGGTTCTCTCATGAAATATTTCATTTTTAGTCAAATGTATGACACTATGACCATTGCAAAACACAATTGTCTATACTTGTCCAAAACTAAGATCATTGACCAAGTCTCGAAGCCATAAAACCTCCTTCATAGTCTTAGTCACATCTACATATTCAACTTTTTTTGAAAGTAAATGCCTCACCTTTCAAAGTTTTAATCAAAATTACACAAAAATCTATTAGTTTTCAAAATAAATATTCTGTCTCAAAAAATATTTTCTGCTTGACACATAGGTCTAATCATTAGTCAATTGTTAGTGTTTTCACTAGTTTGATGATGTTGCGATATTAAAAAGATAATTTTACTTTTATTAATTTTAAAAATTATTATTATATAATTTTATTAATTTAAAAAAAATAAGGATTTGGGCTAGTGCTCCTTTGGAGAGCCTGATTAGGTCTCTAGTGCTCTTAGGGAACACTAATCTAATGCTCTCTATGGGTGGTCGATTGGAGCAAGGACGCCGTCAATTGGCCTGAGAGAAAGAAAATATTAGGAAAAAGAAAAAGAGCATTTTAAACATTTCATATTTAATATTAATGCTATTTAGACATTTGGAGAAGAGTGTCTATTTTGAAAACTAATGAACTTTTGTATAATTTCAATTAAAATTTAGAAAAATGAAGGTATTTTACCATTTACTTAAAAGCATCATGAATAATTTCATTATTGTAGAATAGTTACAAAAACTACCTTTTTGTGGTAATGCTGTTGGTTGGCCCATTGCAAGACATTGTCATGACTTCCCTTACGTAAGTTGTAAAGAAACAAAACCATTAGGTTGCTAATAGGGTCAAACATAACCCTTACAAAGCAAGAAGACTTGCTCTTAAGCAAAACAAAAGAGGCATGAGAAATAGGCCATGATCATCCCATTGTAGTCAAATTAACTTTTTTTAATACAATCTACCATTGTAAAATCACAATATTAACAACTCCTGTGATAAGGGAGTCGCTACCTATGTAGTTAAGGAGACAATGTACTGCTTCGAATCTTTATTTTCAATGGAGTTCTTCAACAATTTGCATCTAATAAGACACAAATTATGCAATTAAGACTTTTACAACATCGGCATGTACACAACTTACCACAATCATCATAGCTAGAATCTTACATAACTCATCATGAGGTAACATAGTAAGGCACATTTAGGCATCTGTTAATAAGTAGAATCAATACCTTCTTTTGTAGTATTCGACCACACAAAAAGAACAAGTTGTTCACTAATTTTTGATTTCTAAGTAGCAAAGAAGTTATTCAAACAGCAACAAAAAGAAGTATCAACATTACACATCCTTCTACCATATATTTAACTTTAGTTGAAGAAAAGGCAACTGTTGATTGGAGAATTGCTTTTCAACTAATTACAAACCTTAAAGAGAGTGGACATATACCCTGTTTGAGTTTTGTTACTAACTAGATCACTAGAAAAGTTTGAATCAAAAAAGCCAATCACATTACAACTAGTGTTTACACCTCCTTCATACACTAAGCCAATATCTATAGTGCCTATTAAATATAAAAGGATCCACTACACAGCTTGCCAATGTCCTTTTCCAAATTTTCCTGAGAATCTAGGAACCACATTAACAACTTGAAATATGTAACCTATTACACACCATAGCATACATAATGCTACTCACTACATTCACATATGGAATGTCAGCATGTACTCCTTCTCATCCTCCATTTGCAGTGACAATTAAACTATATGAAAGTTTTAAGTGTAACCTTAATGGAGTAGTGATGGACTTGGTGTCTTACATCCCAAAACATTTTAGTATATTTTTAATGTATTTACTTTGTGACAAACATAACCTAAACGCTTGTCTATATTTATATATCCAATATTTTCTTCACAGCACCTAAGTCTTTCATTTGGAACTCACCACTGAGCTGCTTTTTAATACATTAATTTCTAACATACTATTGACAGCAATAAAAATGTCATTTACATACACAACAAATGAATAAATGAATTATTTGGAAGCTTTCTACATTAGACACAACTATCATACACACTCCAAGAATGCTCATGTGCCTCCATAAAAACATATCAAACCTTTTATACCATTGTCTAAGAGATTGTTTCAGGCCATATAATGACTTTTTAAACGAACACATAATCTTTCACACCTAGAACCTTGAATCTCTCTAGTTGTTGTATGTAGATCCTATCTTCAAGCTCACCATGTAAGAATAGTAGCTCAAACTCAAGATCAAAATATGCCACTATAACAAGTAAATGCTCAGACTGAATTATGCTTCACTACAAGAGAGAATACCTTACTGTAGTTGATTCCTTTTCTTTGTGGATAGCACTTTTGCCACCAGTGTACATAATAACATCTTTTAACGTGTATTATAGCGAAGCTTTATCAATTCAACATATGTACCCTTTGGTACACATATTAAATAAAATATTAGAAATGTTTTATTGTTTTATAGAAACAACATGGAATTATCAGTTTAGCGATTCTTTCGTTAAAAAAAAAAAAAAACCCTTTGAAGAAATAGGAGGGTTGTATGATACAAAAAAACATAATGATATCAAGACCCTATGGTAGGGTTTGTCAGAAGGCAGTGGAGAATGGCTGTGAGCTGGAATTGAAGAGGGAAGACGGCGTTTGCCTTATTCAGAAAAATACTAGCTACATCTTATCAACCTTTAATTTAATTTAATTAATTAATTAATTAATTATAACAGTTGCAAAATTAGAGACAGGCATTAGCCTTCCAGTGCCCTTAGAGGACAATAAAATAGTAGTTTAATAGGTTACCAACATATAAGTGTTTTTCCAACCAGGAGATATACACAGAATCACAACTTTAGTAACGAGAGAAGCAACAACCAATTGGATAATTGACCGTTGACCTCCCGCGTGATTTCATTCTCCCTAATTCCCTCCCGTTCCCTTCCCTATATATCTCCGTTCCGTTTATGCCACTACGTACCTTCCCCAACATGATCACAAATGGGCCAGGTATATCTCGTAGTTATGATAAAAGTTTGAGCCTAGGACTGTCATTTCTTCCAGTTCTATTAAAATAATAGAAAGTACAGCAATGCGGACATAATAATTCTGCATTAAGCAATACCAGTCGCGGAAGAGCACGTGAGAGTGGAAAAAATTGAAGTGGAGTGGAAGAATGGGAAACACGGCGCGTGAAGGAGTGAAATACAGAATGGAAAGCGGTGGGGGCTGCTCGTGTATATAATTCATGTCCGTATTATGAGAGAGGCTTTCCTCTTTTTCCAACTTTTGCTTGCTCTTCCCTCCTATTTCTCTCTTTCTCTTTCTCTTTCCATCTCTCTGACCTAATTGTGTCTTTGATCAACGCCACCAAATTCACCTCTAATTCTAAATCTAGAGAAGATCCATCCAATCCAAGTAACAGTGGGTCTGTCTCTCTTTGGCCTCTGGCTTCTTGGTTTGGTTACCATATACTTAGATCTATATTTTGCCACACAGGCCCCTACTGGGACTTATTTAACATTCACAAAATATCACCCCACAAGGTTTTTCTTTCTTTCCTGCTGACCTTTTTTTCTCCTTGGGGTGAAAGCGATAGAAAAAGGGCCATCAAGAAGAGGAAGAAGAGCAAGGACTACAAGGGAAGGGAAGGGAAGAGAAGAGAAGAGAAGAGATCATCGATCCTAAGTTGTTTCTGCTATCCTCAGAGTAGTGGAAGGACAAGAAAAAGATGACTCCAGCTAATTTGGCAGGTCAGTTTGGTGACACTACTTACACCAAGGTGTTTGTTGGAGGGCTGGCATGGGAGACCCAGAAGGATACCATGAAGAAGTACTTTGAGCAGTTTGGTGAGATCTTGGAGGCTGTGGTCATCACTGATAAGGCCACTGGGAGATCTAAAGGCTATGGATTTGTACGCTCTTCTATCTCTCTTTTTACCTGTTCATTCCATTCTCCAATCTTCATATCATATTCTTTCTTCTTTTTTTTAATCACTAGATCTTCAAGTAAATAAAAGATCTAGTGATGGATTTTACACAAAATGAAAATCAAAAAAGAAAATTGACCATTTTGTGTACAATTTACGTCATTGTTTTTTAATAGTTGGATGATATTTTTTGTGATAATGGATATGAGATAGAAAATGTGCTGTTTCTACTGCAGGTAACTTTTCGTGAGCCCGAAGCTGCCATGAGAGCTTGCGTTGATGCTGCGCCTGTGATCGATGGGAGAAGGGCTAATTGCAATCTCGCTTCTTTGGGTGTTCAAAGATCCAAACCCTCTACTCCAAAGCATGGTGAGCAGCTTTTCCATGCTTTTGGTTTTTGACCTGAATTTAGGTTTTGGGTGATGGCATACACATCAGATCTGGAGAAGAGTTTAAGTTTTTTTATTGTTACTGATCATCAAAGGCTGGCAAGTGGTTACGTATTTAACATTATCTGTAAAAACTTTGATCTCCAGGGCCCAAGAAATTATTCCGTTTGCAGCAAACAAGAATTCACAGTCAAATACAGCTATGAATATTCTTCAAAAAAACAAAAAAGAAAATCGAGAATGTTAATTCTTGAAAAACAAAAACTCAGCCTATGAATATTGCATGGGAAGTGCGTTTGTGTTTTTACAACATTCATTCTCGTCTTCAGACGTCTTTTTCTTGGAAAATTTGCATACACATGCCAGTATTTATCCAAAATGTTTGGCTCAGGACATGCATATTCCTGCATTAAAGGAGCATTGCATACATTAATTTTGTTAGTTGTCTTTGGTTATAAAATCAATGAAAGTAAATAAATATATGTATATTTGGCAGGAGGGACGGGCAGGAATTTTAGGGTAATGAGCTCTTTTCAGACAGGGTTTGGAGGGGGAGTGGGAACAGCTTTTCCTTCGGCTGCAACCTTCCCTCATTATGCCATCCAACAAGGGATTCCTTATAATGTTTATGGGTATGCTTTTTCTTCTCTCTCCTCTGCTCTATGTCATGTGTGTATGGGAAGCTGCATGCACGTGCATTGCCAACTCATGGACACCCAACACCATTGATCTGGCTAGGGCTGTCAAGCACGCTCATCCACCTTCTCTCTCTCTCTCTCTTTCTCTCTCCAACAAAAGTAAAGTTATTGATCAAACTCAGATGCATCAGAGCCACATATATATATATATATATATATATTCATAGTATCACTGTTATCATATGACGGACGCTTTCTCTCTCAAACTTGTTTAATTTAGAACGATTAACAGGCTTTGAATCAATAGAACTAATGTTCATGCTATACACTGCATGCACATGCATGCACATGCACACCCACGATCGCAGAAGATAGGCAAATGCATCTCGCTGCTTTCATTCATATGTTTATTCTATTTCAGCTGTTTTATATGTATATTTCAAACTTTGACTGATTTCTTAAGTGATTGCTAACTTTATTTCTTTTTTCGCTTTGCATTTCCTTCACACCCTTTCAGGTACTCCCCATACTCGCCAGATTACACATACCCTACGGTTTGTACAGATTTCTCCTTTTCTTTTTGCTTTATCCTCACTACATCTTAGGATGCTTTTTCAAGCTTACTTTTTTAGGAAAACAATGACCCTTTACCTATCATTAATTCTAATATATATATATATATATATATATGGATTTCGTAATATGTTATTTAATTTCCTTTCAGAAGGGAAGAATTATTTTGGGAAATAAATGATATTAATAAGTAATAACAACCATACATTTATATCATTAATCTAATTTATTTTGAGGCAGTTTGGCTGAGGTCTTAGCCTTTTTAAATATATGTCATTGGTTGGAGGGAGCTGGTGGAAGATAACTTGCGGTATCAGTAGTTACATTACTCAACTCTTTACTTGTGAGCAGATCATCACCGACCGTTTACCAACAAATTTACAGCATTTAAGATTACTTCAAATAACCCATTAGACAACGGCACCATAACCATGCATATAATTGGGTTTTAAGATGTTACTGTTCATCAACACTTTGAGAAATCACATGTCATATGTAGAATGCCTAGGATTTCGGAATTAAAAATGTGATAATATGTTGTTTGAAGTTGCAAAATTACTTTTTTTAGTCTTTTTTGTTGTAAATATATCATTAAGTTTAACATAAGAAAGAAAATTTCAAAATCATAATGCTTAAGAGAATAATTAAACTACTTTCTAAGAAAAAATGGATATTTCTTTGGAAGATAACGAGTAGTATAAGATTAAGCTCAATGAAGAGAGACATCTGAAAATGTGACAGTGAGACCATTGATTAAAATGCATTATTTATAGAAACGTTTGTCAAACAAACTCCTAATTTTCAAGGGGCCGGGGGACGTATAACATGCACGCCCTGTCCTGGTCAGAGCCTTTGTACTGGTTGGTCCAGCAGTCCAGCTAGCCCTGGTGTCTTCGCTTTGTCTTCAGCTTCTTGATCATTAGAAATTGGACCTGTGGTCCACCCCTCACACTTACAGTTTGTGGAATTGCAAGCACTAGAATTATATTCCTTAGCTGTTTCGATTAACTGATTACAACACATTGTCAAAGGAGTTACTTGAACCTGATTATACACATTATTTACGTTGGCCATAATAGCATGTAGGTGCCCACGTGTATACAGAAATATTAACTATTTTAAATTGTCTTCTTATGGTTCAGAGCTACTACAGTGTGTATGGAGGGGCCACTGCCCAGTATCCAGTGTATGGTGCAGGCCCGGGTGGGTTGATGACTGGTGCAGGAACAACATTCTACCCCTATCTTCAATTTGGAGAAGGAACTGGGGGAGCCACCGGCTACACCTCGGGTCAGGGATATGGTGTCCAGTATCCACATCACCCGTTTCAGTACTCGGCCGTTAACTCAACTGGGAGTTACCCGCAGCACTATGGTGCACCCATGTCACTTGCACCTACTCCAGCCTTGCAATCAGGTTTGTACTACTTGAACAATTTATGCAACTATTTTTTTTGTCTGAAACAACTTGTTCAAGGTGTAATCCTCTCGCAACACCGCCCCCCCCACTAAAAAAAGAAAATGTTTTTTGTCATTTATGTATATTACATCTAGCTATATATAGAGAGACAATTTAAAGTACATTTGTGCATAATTGTATAATCTTATAATTATTTATCCACTGGCACAAGGGTACTAATATCTTTGACAGTGTGTTTTGCTGTGCCACAGGCGTGACCATGGCTGTTCATGCCCCAGCAATTCCTCATCGTTAAGAGACTCATTCCAAGCTAGCTACTCCACATTTCTTCAGCTGCTCTAAAGTCTCAACCTTCGGCCTAACCATGGTTCTCTTTCTCCCTCTGTCTCTATCTAACTCAAAGCCCGTGCTTGGCATCAGGGCCTTTGCACGCACAAACAAGGCCCCCCATAGGGGCCACAAATCACCTCCGAAACTGGAGAATCATGCATGTTTTTTCTGTTGCATCTTTTGCAAACAAGGGTTCCTTGAAGAGAACCAAAGCATTTTATCTCGATGCCAACTCAGCTATTGGAACAGCTAAGTTGGGATACTTTTTGTATCTCCGGCCCAGAAAGGCTAATTAAAACAAACTTTTTTTTGTAACTTTAGCCTAGGCAAGGCTAATAAACAGAAAATGGTTTGCAAAAACTGTAAATTCAACAACACAAAATGCAAGCCTCGCATCTTCAAATTTAGTCTTTTAATGGCTAATCCCTCCAACTTTGGCTAATCACCTCTTGGTAATGAGGCAGTTTTAGCAAAAATCATGGGCATTGGACGCCCCAAGGTTTTTTTTTTTTTTTTTCTTTTTGGTGCATTGACATCTAGTCTTAGGGTTTAAAAACTAGCTAGGGCCATGTAGTCATGTTTTTATAAATGCTTTTCCAACATCACGTCTGATCTTTATATAATATGTTTTAAACAACACCATCTTCCCTTAGGGAAAGGGAAGAAAATGTTAACTGACACTTGTTTCTTGTAAATTCATTGTGGCTAAACTCTGGGAGTATTAGCCCCTTTTCATTAAACTATAAATAGGAGGGTTAGTGTTTGTCTTTTTGCATTTAGCTTTTCTAATATTTCATCATGAAAGAACTCCATCAATGGATGTGGAGCTCAAAGCATTTGCATGTAACCCTGGGAGATATTTTGGTTCCTTAGGGTTCTTCTCTTCTAACCCACCAACCATGGTTAGGACTTAGGTAATCCTCATCACTCTCTGTCTTTCTCTCTCCTTCGCTCCCTCTCTCTCTTGAACTTTCACTTGGAGATGGTACTTGATACTCTTTATATGTATAAGCCTATGGTTTGGATTGTAAGTAGGGATCGATCGATGCCACTTAGAAGATGATTCATTCTCCATCTTTGATGGTTGAGAATGGATATGCTACTTACTATGCTTTAATTTCAGACTGTTATGCTTACTGCTGCTAATGCTTTGTCCTTGATCAGCAAACTGTCATGTTCTGAAGTTAAAATTTTGTCGTGTTTAATATTTGGGCCTAAAATCATTGCTGCTTACAGCCACTCCAGTATGGCAACTGTTGGTTTCGTATTCAACGCTTTTTACACAATATAAAAGTGCTTCAACCCAATTTATCCTTGAAAAATTGTTCCATCTCGTCGTTGGCAGCAACATGCATGCTGTATCTAGAAACGAAATCCAATTACATATCCAATTAATGCAAAAATGAGAATTTTAAAGGGGTAGAATAAAAGCTTCAATTAATGCAAAACACTTGTTATCCATTGTAATGTCATTTTTGAGTTCATCCTTGTTTCTTGCTAAGGATCTGTACTGGGGAAAATTCTTCGTCACAATGGCGCTTCTACAAGCCCATAGTTAGTGTAAGATAGTAGACATCCATTTTTGTATCTATATATGCTAATGGCTACAGCCTAAGAGTTGTCAATGAATGATAAAATTTTCAGAAAAATACTCAGAAGGATGAACGAAATGATTCTCCGGAAAGAAGAAGAAAAGAACAAAATGAGAGGCTTCAATATCTGGAAATTAAAAGATTGTCACACCCTTCATTATGTCATTTCTAGCGTTATATATTTCCTTAAAAAAAAAAAAAAAACAAATCTTAAAACGTTGGGGCCCTGAAATTGAACAAGAAGAACAATACGATGGTAAACAAGTCGTTTAGACACAAGACTGTAGTAGCCAAGTTAAACAACATAACAAACAACCGTTCCATACATAGGAAATAAAACAACAATTAAAACGACATTGCAAAGTTGCGTATCACAACAAGCATTTGGTAAAGTTGGCATGGCAACGTTTTGGAGTAATAAAGAACTGTCTTCAATCTTCAAAAAACCTGTTCCTTCCCTCCAAAAACATCTGCTCCTCTGATTCACCCAGATCAAGCACACTGATTCACCAAATTATGATCATTCTTCAACACACCCCAGTGATAAAAAATCTAGTGCACTCCAAGTCGAGATCCTAGAATTTCAAACTGTTCTATACCCAAAGCCTTTGTATATATAGTTGCCCATTGTGAGTCAGTTTGGCAGTACCTTAGTTTAATCTCCTGCTACTTCACTGCATCCCTCAGTGCATGATACTTCACTCAAATATGCTTTGTGCGACCATGATGAACTGGATTTTTAGCTACAGAGATAGTAGATTGATTGTCCACATGAAGTACAGTACCTTTCTTTTGAATAAACCCAACATCCAAAAGTATCTTCCTCAACCATTGAACATGGTTAGCAGCTGCAGCTGTAGCAATATACTCAACTTCTGCTGAGAATTGTGCAACTATCTCCTATTTCTTTGAATTCCAAGTGAACACTGCATTTCCAAATGAAAAACAAAAACCACCAGTGCTTTTGGAGTCATCAACTGACCGTGCCCAATCACTATCAGTGAAACCTTGAAGCTCACCATTGTCCCTCCTCTTATACCTGAGACCAAACTCCACTGTCCCTTTTTTATAGCTTAGAATCCTTTTTGCAACTTTGAAATGCAACTAAGAAGGTGTTTGCATAAACCTTGACAACAGACTTGTAGCATACATGATGTCAAGTTTAATGGCTGACAAGCACAACAGTGAGGCAATCTTACTCTTGTAAATATAGCCATATGCATCTGTTGAACCATCACTTTTACTCAATCTTTTGCCAACAGTAAGATGATTGTTGACTAGTTTGCGAGCATCCACGTTAAACTCTTTTAATAGATCTCTTGTGTATTTTGACTGACGCAAAATGATCTGATCCACTTCTTGTTGAACTTCCATCCCAAGAAAATAAGTCATCAGGCCTAAGTCAATCATCTCAAATGCAGACATCATTTGCATTTTAAATTCTTCCAAGTATTCAACAGCCGGCCCAGTAATCATCAAGTCATCCACATACAAGGCAACTATCAACATGATTGAATCACTAGAACTTCTCACACAGAGAGTAGGTTCAGTTAGGCTTCTATTAAACCTTTGGCTTCTAAAATAGTCATCAATTTTTTCATAACAAGCTTTGGGAACCTGTTTAAGTCCATACAAAGTTTTAATAAGCTTATAGACTTTGTTGTCAGCACCTTGTACTTCATACCCTTTAGGTTGTGCAATATAAATGTCTTCTTTTAAAATATCATTCAGAAAAGCTGATTTCACATCCAAGTGGAAAATTTTCCAACCTTCCTTTGCTAATAAAGCAGCTAACAGTCTTTTAAGAAAATGTTTAGCCACAGGGGTAAAAGTTTCGAAGAAATCAATACCATAAGTTTGAGCATACCTGTTAAGCACTAACTTGGCTTTGTATTTATTGACTGTGTCATCTGGATTCAGCTTGGTTCTGTAGATCCACTTGACCCCAATCAGCTATTGATTGTTTGGTTTGTCAACTAGCACCCAAGTTCCATTTTTCAGAATCATACTTATTTCTGCATCCATTGCTGCCTTCCAAGTTTTATCAGCTTGTGCTTTTGCAAAATTGGTAGGACCTACAATTGCTAAGTTGCATCTGTTGTATATATCTTGTAGTGACATTGTGCCTTTAGCTGCCAAACTTTTATTCTCCATCATAGGTGTCAATATAAGCTGGTCCAACCCAACTCAACCTAAAATACTGTAGGTTGGGAAAATATAGGCTGGGTTGAGCCAACCCATTTTTAACATGGGTTATCAAAACCTCAACCCAACCATCTTTTGTAAGCCCATAAGTTGAGTTGGGTTAACCTATTTTTTTTTCAAAAAGAAAAAAATTATTTTTACAATTTCACCTAACAAACTCGCTATCAATAAAATTGTTTTATGATTTAATTCATAAATTTAATAATAAAAATATGTTATAAACAAATAAATACACTAAACATAAATAAGTAAATAAATTACATCAATCATAAATAAAGTTTTAATCTTTAACACAAACTATAAGCCTATCCACATAAGTACATAACCATATAAATAAAAACTTTAAGACTCATTGATATCCTCCTCAATCCTCATCTTCAAGCAAAACATTTTTAATCTTATTTGGATAGCAATAATGTCTCAAGGTCTGAATTATTATTATCTAATATTCATTGCCATAAAAAAAAGAAATAATGGGTTTCAATCTTAACTAAAATTATTAATTTGACAAGTAAAGATTAAAGACATTAAAATATATAAAATAACCAATACTACCAGTAGCTAAAGAAAAACCGTGCAAACAATGTTCTGTGCAAACAAGCATTTGAACAATTTCCTGGTGGGAGGAACTTCTAAACTTAGTGAGAACATGGCCACTAATGCTAAAAGCATACTATGATGTTATGTAGTAATCAGAATGCTTAATACATCCTGTGCCATACTGGAAAGATCAAGAAAGTGCTTAGCATTGTCCTTCCCATAATTAAACACATCCAAGTCTTTAAACACTTCATAATCAAGCTTTGCCTCATATAAATAAACATCAAACTCAAACTCTCAAGCAATAAAAATTGTTTCATTTTGAAAAACATTTTGAACTTCTATAATTTTTAATATATAGACAAAAAACGAAGAAGCAATTATCAAAATATAAGTGAAGTAACATAAATTCTTATGTAATAAACTGTTAGAAAGACATAAAACTTATACTAAAGATCTTTGATCCCTTGGGTTTAGTTTCCCCTTTGGCTTGCTTAGGCAAATTACTCATTGAATAAGAAGAAATACTTGATGCGTAAGTGTTGCTTGCATATTCTTCAAAGAACTTGTACAACTTTGTCTTCACATTTTTAACTTTCCATGACAAGTAAAAGCATCAATCTTAGAATAGCAAATTTTAAGAAATCAAGCTTCATCCTTAGGTTAAGAATAGCTTCAAATGCAAGTACTACACTATAATCCTTCCAATACTTATCAAATTTTATTTTCATCATTTAAGACATATCCTTGATAATCTCATCATCACTATGCAAGTTTTCATTTAAAATGGATACAATGTTCCAAACTTGCAAGAAATACAAATTGGAAGTTGGATGAGATGACCGGATAGCAAGTTTGTGGTTTCATAAAAGGGCTCCATAAATTCACAAATTATCATTGCTCTCTTTCTTTACTCATCGAATGGATTATATTTATAAGTTTTATCAACAAAAGGCTAAGAAAAGCTTTTTGATATTTGATTGTACTTTGAAGCATTAAATATGTTGAATTCCATCTAGTTGACACATCTAAATGCAACCCAATACCTACATCAATGCCAACTTGTTGAACATATTCTTGAAACTTTTTCATCCTCCCATTCGATGCCTTGGCATATTTCACATTCTCTTTAATTTTAAATAATGTTTTATTGACTACTTTCAAGCCCTCTTAAACACTAAAATTTAATATATGAGCATAACAACTCACATGAAAGAATTCACCATCACAAATCAAGTTATTTTGCAAATGAAGATGGCTTTTCAAGATAGTTTGCATGTTATCCTTAGCATAAGCATTGTCTAAAGTAAGAGAGAAAACTTTTTTTATCTATTCCCCATTCTTTCAAACAATCAAACACAGTGGCAACTAATTCAACTCTAGTGTGTAGAGAAGGCATATGAAAAAAGTTAAGTAACTTGCTACATAACTTTCAATTTTCATTGACAAATGGAGCGGTTAAATAAATATAGCCCTCAAAAATAGATGATGTCCATACATTAAAAGTTAAACAAATGTTATTAAGTAACTTCGGTATGGCTAGTTTAAGTTTCTCTTTTTCTTTCAAATGAATCATCTGTACATCATATACAACAATGTTTCAAGTATGCATCATTACATTTGGATTTACATACTTAGCCCAAACTCTAATCTTATCATATTCAATAAAAGCATAAGGCAAGTCATGCTTAATTATAGCTTCAACAAGCATGTCATGCGAAATCTTAATGTCGAATTTTCTAGCCCTTACTTTCCCTTCATGATCCATAATCATTTGATGTGGATTAAGCTATGAAATGAATTTACAAGTTTTAATGTGACATGTAATGACCTTCATCCCGATCGTTACTTGCATTTGAGACTTGCGAGAGAACCCACCAAATCCCGAACAAGCTTTAGTTGAGATTTCATTAACCAAATCAAACAATTTAATTCATGTGTGAATCAACTTGGATTTTATTATAATGTTCCACTTAAACTGAGTAAAAATTGTAATTAAGATATAGCAACTAAATAACGTCTAATTCTAGTAAACTTCAAGATATATTCAAACATCACACTTAGAATCCATTACACAACCTCAAGGTTCTTAGCAATACATTTTCAATAAACTTAAAAATTTTTATAAGTCTAACTGTTTTACTCAACATGAATTCTATGCAGCGGAGCGACTTGGAGTGAAAGTCTAAGAGATGCCATTACCTACATTACAGTGAGTCCACTATATACTGAGGTAATACACTTGAGTTGATCACTTATCTACAAAAAGGAGAAGATGAGGGGGTGAGTCTCACAAACTTAGTGATCATTGATAACTCTATTATATAGAGTTATTTTGAGTCATTTTGGGAGCTTAAGTAGCTAGATCTTTGAGATTTTAGGTTCGAATTTTAGCATTATAGGTGTTTTTTTTAGTTTAAGTTTGATTACTTGTTAAGTGATTAATTTAAGTTATTTTAGTTAAATTTTAAGTTATTTTATTTTAAATTACTTTAAGAGTAGTTATTGCTAATTTCTCTTATGACTTTTGTAGGAAATTGATGAAAAAGACTCATTTGATGAAAATCAGTGCAAGTATGGTGATAGCTTCATTCGTATATGTTTCAGTATTTTGACCATATCTCTTTCAAAAAAAACTCCAAATGAGGTGATTCTTAGACCAACAGAATTATAAGAAGAACGGATACAATGTTTATGTTCACCAAGTTGCCCAGTTCTGATTGGATCATGGTCAAAATATTTGTCAAAGTCGGACCACTGCAGCAGTATGTAAAGACTGAACATGATGCGGTATTTGGAGCAAATCTTTCAATACAGAAGTTCAATTGATGTGATTTTTGATCCATTGGAAAGTTAAGAGACAGGGATAAAACTTTTATGTTTACTACTTTGCCCAGTTCTTAACATATCAGGGTGAAACTCACGTTTGAAGTTGATAGACTGCCACAGCGCTGGGCGAACAAGGCTGCAGCGTTGATGAAAGGAAGCACACATACAAAATTCCAGAGAGCTCAGCGCTGCAGCGCTGGAGAAGTAGCGCCGCAGCGCTACGCGACTTTCCAAAAAAAAAATAAAGGACATTAACGGGATTTCAAAAATTAGGTTATTTGGAGCCTATTTAAGGAGCCTTTTTCAGAGATTTTGGAGAGGAGGCAGCAAGCAACTATTCTGGAGATTTGGAGCCAAGAACAAAGCAAGGAAACAAGAGAATTGGAGAGAGAATCAAGATCATAAATCTCTAACTATTAGTTTTCTCTCTTACCTTTGTGTTTTTCTTATTTTCTTTGACTTGACTTGGATTCATGGTTAAATTTCTTTGGATATTGTCTTTATTAGATATTATAAGCTAATTTATTTTTCTAGGATTGCAATTGAACTCACATGTAATCTAGATTTTTAATCACTTTCTTGCTTATTTTCAATGGGATTTGAATTGTTTATTCCATTTGTTCTTAATGCTTTTATATTGCTTGGCCACCAATTAAATTGATCTAGAAACCTAAACAAACTTGGGAAAGGGAGTTTAGTGTAGACTAAAATTGGGATAGCATATGATCATATTAATTGATTTGCGTATAGGATAGGGATATACCTATAGGCCATATGTAGCCAGATTAGAGCCTGAACTTAATGAGTTTGTTTTAATTTCATTCACATAGGGATATAGTGTTTTGGTTAAAATAGATATTTTTATAAGATGAGTCGGGAGACCCTTATAAATATTTTAGGACTCTAGGTTAGCAATTCAAACCATTGAGATAAGTTAAGGAAGAGAGGTAAGATTTAGATGAAGTGTGAGGGATATTGTAATCCTAGGCTTGTTTGATTTGATATTTATTTGAGTATTTATTATTTTGATTTTTCTTAATTTAATTCTGCTATAACTTAGTTTGATTTGATATTATTTTGATATTGTTTGGATAAGATTAATTTGCAATAATTTTAGTACTTAGTAACTTTTAGATCAATTCCCTATGGGATCGATACTCTACTTGCTAATATACTGTCTATATCGATACGTATACTTGCGTAGTAGAATTTTAACTAACAATCATCGGCTCTGTGAACAGGGTGTAGATGGGAAACAAGCCATGGATAGAAAATTTGAATATAAAAAACATAAGAATATATAAACAATTTAAACTCAAATGGAACATTTGTCCCTTACATATAAACCCAAGAATTGTGATGCAAAATAATCATTTCAAGTAATGTATTAAAACCAGTACAAATGGAAGATTTCTATCGTTGAAATCATTCAATGTCTTTTACTTCAAATCAGACTATCATAAGCATGCATGCTCCCATGAAATTAAGTATTATCAAAGCTTATACACAAGCTTGTAAACCATCTCATCCTGGAGGTATTAAACACAAAATCATACTATAAGTAAAGGAGCTACAAAAAAACCTGTATTTCTCACCATGCAACAGAAGTCATGTTTGAAAGCCCAAAGAGATATCACTTTTGAGTAGGTAATTGTAGTAATTAACTTGTGGACCTACTTCTATGTAATAACATTAGGGAGGCCTCCCTCCATCGGATTCCCACAGCCATGGTAGTCTCGACAATGTTGGTTGACATCGGAGAAATCATGTGGTCGCAACCACGTATATCAACTTGTGGCTTAGCCACATATATCAACCAATGGCCTTGTCACATATAAAGAAAAGACTGTGGCCTAGCCACGTCTAACAGCCCATTGGTGACCCAAATGTTCTCTCGCTAGAGCTCATTTGTGCACAAGGGTCACATTATCCCGATGTGATATTCGACCTACTCTCGAATCTCTCAGTTTGATAAAACCATTTATAAGCAAGTTATAACATCCCGTATTCTCGAATAGAAGTCAATAAGACCCAATCGATGAGACGGAGGATCAATTGACAAAAATTTAAGTGCCAAAGGGTCGTAATAGCCTAAAAGAATATTTTAGAATAAAATAATATTTTATTAATAAAATATTAATAAAATATTAACATTTTAATTGTTGTTGAGTTAGTCATGGAGGAGGATTATATGACTAATCTAAGTTGGGGAGAAGAAGTAAGAAGAAATTTGGAAGTAAAACGACGATAGTGAGACTTGCGTGCTTTTATTAAATAAAGTACAAGCGGGTAAGTATATATTTAAATATTATAGCGACACGTTGATGGTGTGTAAACCTTATATTATATTTGTACACATATAAATGGAGAAAATAGAAGAAAATTAGAATTTAAGAAGTGTTAGAAGGACTAAATTATTAAGCATGAAAGTTTGGAGGGCCGCACTGTAAATAAGGAAAAGTTAGAGGACTTTTGTGCAATTCTCAGTATTTGAAGTTAAATGGGATAGATTTTGGACTAATGAGCAAAAGAGGTAATGTGTGCATGAAATGTGAGTAGGGATTGAGTTGGTCCAATGGTAATAAGGGATAAATAAAGAAATAAGAAAATAAGAATGGAAAAAGGTATGGAAAATGGGTGTGATGGGTGGAAAACTTTTCAAGGCTTTTGCCTTGTGTTTTTGTCACATAAAAGAGAAAAGAAACATGCCAATAAGACATGAAACCTTGGGCAATCCGCCCATGAGAGAGAATAAAGAGAAAAGGAAGGAAAGTAAAGTAAAAAGCATGAATTCTTGGGCAATCCGCCCATGTAAGCACAAAATGGGGAAAACCAAAGGTATTTTCAAGGCTCGACCTTGAGAGATCCGTCCACTATCAAGAGAAAAAGTGAAAGGAGAGGAAAGGAAGAAAGGAAGGAAAGAGATAAAAGAAGAAAGGAGGAAGAAAAAAAAAGAGGAAAGGAAAGGTTGGCTTAGTGAACCCGAGACAAGGTAAGTGAAGAGATTTTCATTTTTCATGAAATGCATGCTTTGTAAATCAATTTTAAAGTGTGATTTTGTTTGTGGTAGCAAGAACCCACAAGGATTCAAAGGACCCAAGGCATGCATGTAAGTAGATTTTAGAGTCCATGGTGATCATGGAGCTAAATGAGTAATGGGTAAGTGTTTTAGTTTTGAAATCCTAAGTAAAAAGGAAAAATGTGATGTATATTGCTTGATTGTGTTTGTGGCAACAAAGGTACTCTTAGAAGTGAAGAAGTTGTGAATTATATTTGGGAAATTCAATCTTAAATCGAAAGGTAAGCATGCAAAGTGACTATATTGTGTTGTATAAACTTTGGTTGGTTAAATTATATGAATTGTGTGATAAATGTTTGAGAGTATTGTTGATAAAACAATGAGATTTAATTAAGGATTGTTGGTTTATATGCTACCATTTATGAGTATAATTAAATAACTTGGGTTTGAATGGATGCTAGGAAGAGTATAGCAAGCAAAGTTGCCGTGATGGTGTGCCGTAGGAGGTAACGAGAGATCCGTGAGTAGAAATTAGCTAGATATGCGCTTAAGTCAATAGTGATGTAGTGTCCCGCTATTGAGAGGTGAGTAGGGGGTGTCCATTTAAAAATAATCTCATAATTATGTATATGTATATATTTAACGATATGAAATGATTTATTTTAAATGCAAGCTTATGGGAAGCATGAGCTGGTAGATATTATAGGAGTTTGTGAATGCTAAAGAATTTGAAATGTGTTTTGACTATATAAATATATACAAGTTATATACGTAAAGGAT